CTAACCCTAACCCTAACCCTAACCCTAACCCTAACCCTAACCCTAACCCTAACCCTAACCCTAACCCTAACCCTAACCCTAACCCTAACCCTAAGAAACCCTAACCCTAACGCAATACCACCTCGTGCCACAGACTCCATTGAAGAACATCAAGTGAACATAGTGATGTCCGACGAGTAGTGTACGGTGCATGACCTCGGTAATGCTCTAAGAGACCCCGCATTGTGATCTCGAACCTTGTTTGATGAGCTTTGCAAGTTGGTAGCGTGCCAATAGGATCGTGCATCGGAAGACCTGGGGAATTTGTTGGCCCCCCAGTAGGATCGCGCATCGGATCTCCATCCGAAAGCTCAGCTCACGCTCTGGTATTGGAGGATTCTCGGTCACTCATCCTCGGGATCTGGCACAGCATCCATGTTTCAGGCACGAGCCTCGCATGACGCTTCCTCAAAAGCAAGGGACTCTTGCACTCAAATCCTAGTACAAGCTCAAGGTCGACGTCGCGTTTCGGAAGGGGACATTCGGGGATCGAATCTGAGAATTTGGGGTATTTAACTGTGGTTGTTCCTTGGGACGTTGTTACTTATAGCAAGCCTGACTTGTCTGCGTTGTGGTCTTGAAGTTCCTGGTAATATTGATTATTCCCCCGGCCGTCCGAAAACAAATCAGTATGCCTTCACCTGAGCCTTTGCATCTCTTAGCTGCGAATGGAGGTCTGACCAACCCCACTTTGTCGAGTAATGGCGTTGGCCTTACAGGGTATGACCCCAAGGATCAGCCAGTCGAAAATTTCCGCCCTATGAAAGTCATAGCGATAGGGGCAGGCTTTTCAGGCATATATCTAAGCATCCGCATTCCAGAATGGCTCCGCAACGTCGAACTAGTGGTGTATGAGAAAAATGATGGACTCGGCGGTACCTGGTGGGAAAATCGATACCCTGGCTGCGCTTGTGATATTCCTGGTATGTGTTACTCTTGTGGCCACTGATGGCAGATCCACGGATGGTGGATTTTCTGTAGTTTCTTGGCTCTTTCATATTCCCACAAGGACTCTGATCTTTTACGATTTTCAAGGATCACTGACACGACTGCTGTGTAGCACATTCATATGTCTATTCTTTCGAAGAGAACCCTGGCTGGTCGAAGTTTTATGCACCTTCACGCGAAATTCAAAAATATCTTCAGAGGGTCGCGGACAAATATTCGGCTGGACGCTTCATTAAACTCAATCACAAGGTGGTTGGTTGTACCTGGGATGCTACTCGTGCAAAATGGTCCGTGATCTTTTACTTATGCATTGGTATATACAAGTGATACTAAGCCCTTATTCAGGAAAGTTGACATTGAGAGGACCACCACCGGCGAGGTGTTTTCAGATGAAGCAGATGTGATAATTTCTGCGAGAGGAGGCTTAAATGATTACCTCTGGCCGCACATCGATGGACTATGGTCGTTCGGAGGGAAAGTAGTGCACTCTGCCAATTGGGATACATCGTATGTTCACCCGACCCCTGGTGAAGTAACCAGGAACCTGCACTAATTGTCACAATAGGTTTGACTATTCCAACAAGAGAATTGGAGTCATTGGGGGTGGCAGCAGTGCCATTCAAATTGTTCCACAGCTGCGAAAACTTGCTGGAACACGACTGAGCTGTTTCATTCGAAGCAAGACGTGGATTTCAACTACGTTTGGTGCTTCGGCTATGCAGAAGCTAGGCCTTGATCATGAAGATTGTACGGCGAATCTTACCTTTCCATCGTGTCACGAGGGAATACTAATTGACTGAGATAGTCACGAAGGAGGACTACGATAAGTACATGTCTGATCCACAAAAATATCACGACTTCCGCAAAATGATCGAGACCGAAGGTAACGCCATGCATCCATTTTCTTTGAAAGGCTCATCATTGTCCGAGTATGCCCGGGAGGCATTTACGCAGCTCATGAAGAGTCGCTTAAGCAAGAAACCAGAGTTGTTAGAGTTCCTTCTTCCCAGTTTCGCACCAGGCTGTCGCCGCCTAACGCCTGGCCCGGGATTCCTGGAAGCTTTGACCGAAGACAATGTCGAGTTCATCAACACACCCATTCAGGCGGTGACGGAGAACGGCGTGGTGCTCGAGGATGGCCGACTTATTGAGCTTGATGTTCTTGTCTGTGCAACAGGGTTTAAGGCCGCAAGTGCACCCCCCTTTCCAGTCGTTGGCACTGATGGGAAAACTCTGAGTGATCGCTGGGAACCATATTCGGAGGCGTACATGAGTGTGGCTGTGGACGGTTTTCCTAATCACTTCACCATGTTAGGTCCAGGTTCTGGTGTGGCCAGCGGCAGTCTTACCAAGATCCTCGAGAGCGCTGGTGACTATATCATCAAATGCATCCGCAAGCTACAGAAAGAAGACATTAGATCGATGCAAATTTCTTCACGGGCAATCTGCAGCTGGGTCAAGTTCACGAAAGTGTATTTTGAGAAGACAGTCTTCCTGGACGATTGCCACACCTGGTACAGGAAGAATAACCGTGTTATAGGTCTCTGGCCAGGCAGTACGCTTCATGCCATCGAGACTTTACGATCACCAAGATGGGAAGACTTTGAGTACGACTATGGTGAAAACGCCGTGGATGACCGGCTTCTGAGATGGTTAGGTAACGGCTGGTCTGACCTTCAGCTCACTGGGGGTGATATATCTTTCTATATCGAGCCCGAATATATCGATAAACCATCGGCCCCACTCCCGGAGAGGACCGAGAAGTGGAATTATCATTCCTTCTCGCACTGAGGGACAAGAACTGTTACGAGACGATAGATTCTCGCCTGGACAAGGGATATCTCTAGCGACTCAGTGAGGAAAGGACGAGATAAGGAAGGGTACCACCTAACATAGCTGGAAATACATTTCCGATAAGGGGAAGCTTACAAGAAGCCTAATCCCTCCCGATTTAGGTAGAGACTACTCATTCGCTCTTCAGGCTGTGGGTCCTTGTTACAGAGGACTATTCAATAGACTATATTGCATCAACTGTCCCATTACAGAGCTATTCTTAGTGAGGGTCCTAACATGCAGCCAAATGAGTGACTCTTGGTGGAAGGAAAGGGTGAGTGCAACGATAGGGAGGGGCTAGAGTCAAGGATTGCGTCTAGATGCGGGCTGTGCGATAGGAGATGTAAAGAGCGCCTTGAATAATACTCCCCAATTCAGCCATCCCACATCCAAGTATCTGTACTTGTGTGCTTTGGGGTGTAGAGAGTTTAACGCTAATAGTACTATATTATTATATTAGAAGACGGCTAGCTACTATCTCTAAGTATTATATGTTTAGTCCTATCGTTCTAACCAGGCCCTTTTACACTAGTTCTAACTTCTTAGAATGGGCTGATTCGTTCTCCAATCATGTCCATGACGCTCTGCCATTCATAAATATATTCTGGAGGTGTAGAGGAACTCGAGGGCGCCTTTTTGCCGCTACGAGCTTCCTTCTCATGCTTCCTCCGCCGTGAGATGGTGCGAACACAAACGTCAGTCACGTCGGCCTGTAGATCGCGCTGGCGCCACACCGCTTGGAGAACGCGAAATGCGGAGACAATATTCTAGGAAATACTATACGTCAGCCAGTCCACTGAAATAGATTCGTAGGCTGTTTGTCATTCATAGGGTGGTTTGCCCTTTAGTCGACATGGCCTACTGGCTTACTTCCTTGGCATAACAATATATCAACAAGGCCAGGAAGACTTACCGATCTCTGAGTCATTCTAATGGCAGTATTGAAAATTCCCATGACGGTAACCCTGTTATCCTCCTTCTCTGTGCAGCATCCGGCGATGAAAGTTGACCAGAGTGCCCAGCTAGGGGCCAGAAGGCATGTGGAGGCAATGAAGCTGTCAACAAGCTGGAGAAGGTTTTTTAAGTATTGCTCCTTTTCCTCTCGCCTGCACGCAGCTGGAATCGCATTGTCGGATGTCGAGGCCAGAATGTCATGGTTAGGAGAATCACCTTGGTTCGCAGAGGCGGCATTGTGCTGATTTAGTGGCAAGTAGGGTTCATGAAGGAGAAGAACCAAGGCTGCAAGGCGGTTCGCCTCGGCTACTTGCTCGATCAATGCCACCACCGATTCGGGTTCACTCTCCTTCATCCACTCAGGGGCGACTTGCGTCAGACTGGCGAGACTGGCTTTGAGCTGTTGCATCTTGGTTTGGAGATGCGCCTCCATTTTCCGTCTGTCTCTCAAATGTTTGAGTCTGTGCGTCGACGACTGTAAGCGTTTGAGATCTGCAACTTCGTTGACCAAGAGGAGTAGTCCGTTGCTGAAATTCGAATACGGATCGATGATCTGTAGCGAGTCGCTGTCCATCTCGAGGGCCAAATTTTCCGTCGAGGTCCACCGGGGAGGGAGGCCGTCGACAGAACTACCGTCATTGGAGCTAGCAATGAAACCCCCATTGGCTTCGTCGACATTGAACATGGTCTTTGCCATGATGAGATGGTGGGTGAAAAACCGGTAGGCCAGATTATAGCCGTAATCCTCAGCTTGATGTCTTGTGGTTCGAGCCAGGCGCTGCTGAATTGCATGGCGATAGGCGGAAAAATGGACGACCCAACTCCCTGGGTGCGGCTCGTTGATCTGATTCATGTGCGTCAGTTAGTTCCAGGGTGAGCTATCGACAGTGAGGTGGAAGAGGAATGACTAGGAATGGAAAGAGCAGATGTGGACGATCACGGGATGGCCAACCTCGACTACGCACAGCATCATGGAAACGAGCAGAATATCTCGCATGCTCCCGTTCCATTGGATCAGCAGATCCCTCAACGCCTTAAGGGTACGCTGGCGATAGCGCATGACCACATGTGAGAATTTCGAGTCTAACTGCGCCAGTCGGTCTGCAGTGAACATCAAGATAGCAGCATAGATGGTAGGAGAAGTACATGATGCCATCAACATGTACGTGACCGGGTTCTGTCCCTGATCCAGCAGGAAATACAACTTGTCCTGCTGAATGGTGTTGATAAAGAAGTCGATTAGGAGACTCTCGGTCTCAGATCTATTGCCGGGGTTAAAGTAAATAGTGCCAAAGTTGGTGGGGTTTGGCTTGTCGTTCGAAGCTTGAAATCCATCCACTTCGTGGAGGCTTGAGTATTCAATCCGGAGGGATTGGGTGCTGATCATGTCGGAGTCTTCGTCCTCCACAGTGTCTGTCCTGCTGCCCGTGGGCATCAAGTGGCGATAGTAGAAGTCCATGGTCTTAGTGGTGAAATGGAGAAAGCCTCGACAGACCTGCGGAGAGGGCGGAGGCGGGGACTCGATAACAATACTAGAGTCTAGGAACTGCCCGTCGCTGAACCTGGATCCGGTGGTCATGGGCCTGGAAGACTCTGATTTGGAAGAAGCCCCCGACCGGCTGGGAGGTCTCCCGAGAGAAAAGGCTGGATCTGTCCAGACTAAAGTAACATTGTAGTCACATGGCAACGAAGATCGGGTGCAACGACGGCAATGTGGACGCGATTCTGTCACACACGCATCATCTCGTTAGGGGTGGAGCTCGTTGTCGTGAGAAGAACAGGAGACACACCGTCACATTTAAGGTGTCTTTTCCGGCACGTCGTGCATCCGGAGCGCACTCGAGCCATGTTAAGAAGGATATGACATTCAAACTTATAAACCTAGATGGCCCTTGGTTTATTGGGTGCGGTCGATTGACCATCTGTCAGCGGTGTTGCAACGGAGCAAGGGGGGGCGAGAAGGCTGCGAGGTTCTGATATGGGACGTTTTATGGTCACGATTGACCCGGATTCATGGGGAACTATAGTGTAGGAAAGAATTGGCAATTGAAGAGGCCCCCGCCATGGCAGGCAGCTTGAAAAATCCTAACGTACCTAAGGACGGCTGTCACGGCCTCCGAGTTTGTCACGGGACAGCTTCCCGAAACCCCCGTGACTAACCCTGAACAAGCTAATATGGGGCGGCCGAGGGGGCTTGCCAAGATCATGCCACTTGCTTGCTCACAACTTCCTCGTTATCGGTGATCGTAGTCCTTATGTCTACCGTAGACGGCTAGCTGCCATCTCTGAGTGTTCACGCCTATACACGCCTAGTCCTATCGATCGAATCAAGCCCTCTTACACCCCGCTGCTTTTATTCGCGAACTCATTACTTCGCACTTGCCCGACCGGGCAAGTGCCACCTTTGCAAACGCTAATCGCCCTTTACAAAATACCGTTGCCTAGATAGGTACCTATCTACCTAAAAAGACAACTTATTCCTTCGCATTACTACGCGGGTGCGGAGTGTACAGTGCGAACCACGTGATTTGCATTGCCAATGAACCCCAAGTATCCAAGGACTCGATCTTGTCTATCACTGAGGTAAAGGGAGAGTATCATTGGACTACCTGCCGGCTTTTAATCATGTCCTCGTCCTCGAAATGCCGTTGGAGAAGCATCCTCGGACTACTATCTCTCCTAGGAATGTCGTCTTAGTCGTCATATAAATCTTGCTTCGTGATAAACATCTCCTCGAGGAATAGGACCTCGAGGAATAGGATATACTATATCTCACGAATTACATGACGTCTAGGGAGTTCAATGAGTCATCGCTAGGCAGGGATTGATGTGCGAGGATGTCATAAATGTTGATTGAAGAAAGAGAATCGTGTGTAATGGAAGTTACCTTACTTCACACAGAGAAGGGGGTTGGCTGTCAGTCTGTTCAGGGATCTCGGACCCTTTCTACCGGCCTAGGAAACCAATCTGGCAGTATATGTCTACTATCAGTGCGGTTGATCTCGGTACTGACTGCCTCACTCCCAACCATGACGGCAAAATACTGGACCACCTCGGTGCCCTTGTTTGCCCATCTAAACGGATGCGTCATTCAGCCTGTAATCTCTGGTTGAACAATGGTTAAAAGACTCTCTCACCCGTGCATGGTTCCCCGTTGCACAATGACATCTCCGGCCCTGCAGATTGTCTCTTGAAGCTCTCCCTGGCCCTTGTCAGCGTCGTATTCGGTGGACGGCGTGATTAGTGTAAGCTCGCCGCTGTGGACGAAGATATAGTCAGTCGACGTCGTTCGGTGCTGCGAACAGTAAGCCAAAACATTGACCCAGCACAAAGCCACTTGCGCTCATTACCAAAGGGGCGCTAAAGCCTGGAGCGGCCTGGGTGCAAGTGATATGAACCCCAGCCGGCATGTATATTCCAGGTGGCGGAACCTGTTCAGGCTGCACGTTCTTGCTGTAGAGGTCACAACTGTCAGCTATGCGCTTCGGCTCTCGACAGATTCCAATGGAAATTTCATGGGTCGACATACAATCCATCATTAGAGGTCGGAACTTTGGCGTGGGCGAAGATACTCGTGTTGCTGCAAGAGGCCCCTAGCTGCAGCAATTCTTTCAGGTCCGGGCTGGGTAAATTTTCCGAATAAACGGCCACTGCTGGTTGTGAACTGCTCGTTGCATCACAGGAAGACGAAAGCGGTAGGTTGGCGGTCAGTACTCTGCGTACAGGGGCAAAGTCGACCATGCTGGTGGTGGGGGAACGCAGTTCGAGGTGGGTTTGGAGCGCTTAATGCTTCACGGGTGAAGAGACGACGGACCTGATGAGCTGCCCATCGCCTTTATGTACCTCACCAGTTGATTCTCTTATCTTTTTAGGGAGATGGCCTGCTCTTTGGTGGTTGCTGTCGTGGTTGTGCCGCGAGGAAAGAAGAACGCTAAGGCCGGCTGGAACTCGACCGGTGGGGAACGTGGCCCCGAATAAATCCGGCATGGACCTGGCTGGGCATAAGGTAGCCACATTTCAGTACATCGCCCATCGGATCTACTTGCTCTCCTGTCCAACTTTCACCCAAGAAGTAACTTGGCTGCTACTACCTAGCCTGAAATGACCGATATGTCAGTGAAATAATTGTACAGCCCACCTCTCCTGATCTGTGGCATGTCAGTACAATGATGAAACGCGAGAGGCATTTATATGTTGGTTATGGGACCATTCGCGGCACAGGCAGTTCTGGTGGATCCGGAGAGATTTACACCCTCCTGATATGATCTTTGCGTTACATCTATAAAGTCGACGACCACTCTTCAAAGACACATTCGGCAGACGCGAAAAACCATCGTCACCGCTTGTCGCTCTTCTCACCATAAAGCCCTACTCCTGCTCTCAACGAACTAGAAATCCTGCACTCAACCATGGGAGACGCTTCCGGTCAAGATGCTCACACGTCGCACGTACAGCGTCACCCCGACACTGGGATCACAGCTGTCATCGTAGGCGGTGGGGTTGGCGGGATTATGACTGCGTTAGAGTGCTGGCGAAAGGGCATCCAAGTGCGCATCTACGAACGCAGTTCGAAGCCGGAAACCCAAGGTGGGAGGCACCCTGCGGCATACTGCGACCTCTGCTACCACCTCTGCCGGCGCAATATTGCTAACCTGCATGAATCGTGTAGGAGACTTTTTCTCCATTGGCCCGAGCGCATGCAAAGCCTTCGAACATTGGCCGGTTGCCAAGGAAGAGCACGAGGCCGCATCCTACGATTTCTGCCTCTCTTATCACAAACAAAATGGCGAGCACATTTACGGCCCGGTGTCGTTGTCGTCGTTCACGACGACAGACGAGGTTGGTGAAAGCACCACCAACACACCCCGTGTTCACCGCCATCTTCGTTCCAAATTTCAAAAGGTACTCTTGAAGCAGCTGAATGAGATTGGAGTGTCCATCCAATATAATCATCGAGCCGTCAAGTACGACGAAACTCACGACAAAGCGATTGTCGAGTTCGACAACGGCGTTCGGGTTGAGGCCGACTTGGTCGTCGCCGCTGACGGAATAGGTACCAAGTCGTTTGAAGTGGTCACACGCAAGGAAGTGCGCGCGCGAAGCAGCGGCTATGCCATGTATCGTACTGCTTACCCGATAGAGTTTGCTACGGCAGACCCGGAGGTCGACAGCAAGTTTGGGCTCCTCCCTGATGGGCAGTCAAACTCCCAGATGTGGGTGGGGTAAGTGGACTGAGCTTGTTTCCCTCCGTTCGTGAGCACTTACACGCGATTTAGGCCAGATATGCACTTGTTTATCTCCCGGACTCCAGACATATTTTCATGGAACATGACCCACAAGGTATGTTGGCGGCGACCATCACCCTCGGGTGGGAAAATAACTGAAGTACGCACAGGACACATCTGCAAACTCGGCCGAGACCTGGTATGGGACTCACTCCAAATGCACCCCAGCGGACGCGATCCAGTTCCTTGCAACGACCTTGGGTTCTTGTCCCGAAATTCTTCGCAAGGTTTTCAATACCACCCCCGAGGATCACCTGGTGGACTGGAAACTCCTTTGGCGTGATCCTGAATCGGTGTGGACTTCTCCCAAAGGTCGAGTAATCCAGCTCGGGGATGCCGCCCATACTTTTGTCCCCAGTTCGGGAAATGGGGCTACCCAGGCCATTGAGGATGCCATGTCCCTGGCCAGCTGTTTGGAGATTGGTGGGAAGAGTAACGTCCCCATGGCTCTTCGGGTGCACAATCTGCTCAGGTAAGTCCCCGAAATCATGTCGCGTTTCTGGCAGTCAACACGTGCTGATGGACCGACCAGGGCCGAACGAGTGTCTTGCTGTCAGCTTGTCGGCTTCAGGAACCAGGCAAATCGCCATAACACCAATTGGGACCTTGTTTTGAAGAATCCGCAGGCGATCAAAGAGTCATATGACCGCTGGCTGTGGGCGCATGATCCAGAGCAGTACGCATACGAGAATTATGGGCTGGCTGTCCAGCACCTGATCACAGGTGCGCCGTTCAAGAACACTAATGTTCCACCTGGATATGTCTATAAGGCTTGGAACATTGACGAGCTGCTAGCCAAGCAAGAAGCCGGAATCCCGATCGAGGTGTAAGCGAGGCTGGAGCTGGAGGTCAACCTTGGAGCTGCAGGAGCTGCAGGAGCTGCATGTATAGTTGGGACGGTAGCGCGGCTGCATAAGGAGAAACGTGTCAATCAAAAGTAATATTCCCCTGGCTCGGATGCTATCGAGTGAGGGGAATTGTGCACCATGGGGGCCTTTGGGTAGAATTATTCATCAGATAGGCGATCCATTCAATCATTCATAAGAGTTGTGAGTGACAATCGAGACATGTCCCTGCGTTGGGGAAGAGCTAATAGTTACCACCATCTGCCATCCAACTTCAGCTTTCAGGGTGGGGCTAGAAGTTGGACACAACTTGAATTATCTTACCATCCGCCAAGTTGATTCGCATACCCAATCGCTGTGGAGATAATGTGGGCTGGGAGGGCGAAGATGCAAGGGTCTAAGCCCCTTTCAAAAGCGTGAGTCAATCTCGCTGTGATGGTGCCTGGACAATTGTTGTCGTGGATGTAGTTTCAATTCGCGACGTGAGGCGACGAAGGCGGTGTTGTCAACTATCCTTGACCTTGGGAAAAGGTAGACACGTTGGAAATTGGAGCCGACAAAGTCTCAGGCCAGAACCCTTTGGAAGAGCTCGTTGGGAGGGTCGGCCAATGGGGGCTATGAATCTGGTGGAGGCATTATTGGCGTCTCCACGGCCAGTGCACCAATCACACCAGGTCTTATATGAGACCTTATTACAGTCGAGAGACAGAGAAGGCATCGTACGCGATGTCAACGATAAGGTCTAGAACACATCATTGTGACATAAATGAGTGTATCGTAACGGCCAAGAGCCATAGATATCAATCGACAAAGTACAAATTCGATCACACGAACCGGGTCAGAACAGACATCAACTGCCAGAACTCTCCAAAAGACCAGAACATAGAGCGGAGATTATTTGCTCCCTTTTCTCCCGTCTCCTTGAACTTCTCGGTGCGACGTGCTTGAAACTACTTTTCTGTCTTCTGCAAACAAATAAATACATACGCACACGCCATGGCCGCGGCGACCAGTAACACTACTTCTCCAAAGTCTGACCTCACGGATGAAGCATTTGTCCACGTCTCTGCTGAACGGGTGAGCTCGGAGAAGCAAAATGACGAAGAGTTGGACGCCAAGAACGAGCTCATCAACGATGAATTAACCGACTTGGTCGCCGAGAAGAGTGCATTGCGCAAGTTTGATTGGATTCTGCTTCCGCAGATCATGATGATTGCGATCATGGCGGCCCTCGACCGCATCAACATTGGGAATGCCAGGGTGATGGGATTTGAAGGTATGTTATATATGCACACCTACTACGCCCGATCCGCGGTAGGGAGGCTGACTAAAATTCAGAGGCGATTGGTCTCACTGGCTCGCAGTTCAACGATATCGCCATGGTTTTCTCGCCCACATACATCCTCTTTGAGATTCCTTGGGTTGTTGCTGTGCCGTACTTTGGCATCCATCGGGTCCTGGCCGTCGCCGGGCTCGGCTGGGGTGTGGTCACTCTTGGGACGGGTTTCATCCACAACTACGGCCAGGCAATCGCGACTCGTGTGCTGTTGGGGATATTTGAGGCGGCCTTGGTCCCCTGCTTGGTCTTCATCATTTCCCTCATCTGGCCACGTGAGTCTCAGGCCAAGCGAGTCGGGTTCATTTACATCGCGTCATCCATATCGGGCGGCTTTGGTGGTCTCATCGCCTACGCGATCCAGATCTCGGGCACGAGGCACGGCTTAGAACCCTGGAGGTGGCTTTTTATTGTCGAAGGGGTCGTTTCTACCGGTCTCGCCATGATCTGCTGGATCGCCCTGCCCAAATCTGCTGAAGACGCCTGGTTCCTGACCGAGCGCGAAAAATCCGCCATGATGGCCAAGAAGCAGCGCGAAATCGTCTACAAGGGCGAGGCCCTGTTCACCTGGGCTAATTTCAAAGCGGCCTGCCTCGAGCCCCTCGTCTGGCTGGCCGGCGTCACCCTCTTCTCCAACTCTTGCGCCGTCACGGGTTATGCCGTCTTTCTGCCCACCATATTGGCCGGTATGGGTTACACCTCCGTTCAGGCTAACTACCTGACCATTCCGATCTACGCCTTTACCGGTATCATGGTTATGTCCTCTGCCTACACCTCCGACCGGCTCCAGCGTCGCGGTATCATCCTCGCCATGCTTCCGCTCCTCCCCATCGTTGGTTATTCCATTGCTATTGGCACTTCCAACAGAGCGGCCGGTTATTTTGGCATGTATCTATGCGCAGCTGGTAAGAACCAAACAACACATGCCCACGGCCAGTCCCAAAATTGGATGTAGGCTTATGGGAATTGAGCTGTTGGCCCTAGTTTTACGTTTTCTTTTCCCCTGCAATTTCCTCTGCGACGGCTCACTGACCGATTTCCTAGGCTTAATCTCTTTCACGTGCATATTCTTAACTTGGCTTTCCAACAACATTGCCCCAGATTCCAAACGGTCGGTCGCTCTTCCCACGCTTGTTTCCATAGCCAACCTCTCCGGCATTTGCTCGCCGTATATCTACCAGAGAGATGATGCGCCACGCTTCGTCCGGGGCAACTCGATCAGTTTGTCATTTGCTGTCATGGTTGTGATCCTCGTGGTGAGCATGTATTTTCTTCTCCTCAAGAGAAACAAGGAGAAGAAAAGATTGCTCAGCGAGGGCGTGACCGACAATGGCCTAACGGGCGATCGCGCCCTCAACTTTGAATATAAATTGTAAGAGATACCATTCTTGAGTAGGGACGGACCTGAGATTGTGAAGGTGAAATCGATATGGTGGACAAGAATAGGAGGGGAGGCTAGAATAGCCAAACGAAGGCCAAATGAAGGAGGAAGTCTGTTGAGCACAGCTCGATAGGGAGTCATTGTCACACCCAATTAACGTCAGGTACATGCATGGAAGCAACATCCTTGTATCTTCAACACCCTGGCCAATCTTTATGGCAAAGACAGACAGCCAGGAGCCCGAGGAAACCTTAGCAGCTGGTGCCTCTAGTACTTATGATTAGTTGTATCTGTATGATGCAGCTACCCGGCTGTAGATTTATAAGGATTTCTTTTTGGTTTAACATGTAAAAGATCAAAGCAATTCATCGGTGTGGATGGGAAGCAGACAGTCAATTGGACTGCAAAGAAACTTCTTATTTTTGTTTCCTCCCCAGCCAACGGGACTTACCCTATAGGAGCAGAAGAAGAGAAAATCTCAGCGGTGATGGCAAAACAGTTCGTCGGCCGGTTCACCAAGAGATAGGGATTCACTCGTAGAGCCAGTGGCAGCCATACAGGGTACTGATGTATTAGAACAGGCTGACCACACACCTTGATTTCGGATCAAGCTCTGCCGAAACGTGTGCATAACGGATGGATTCTTTCCCACCCTTCTAGATCTCTAACTTTATTTAACCTGCAAACTTGTCCATCACCAACCACGGGTGTCAAAGCTTTGACAGCCACAGCCCAGAGCCAAATGGGGAACTCGAAACGACCTTCCAGTGTGTCTACAAACCTGGTCAGGGCGGGGCTCCGTGCAATAACCTTCTAAGGGGGACAACCAAGTGAGGCTTAGCATTCGTCTGGGCCTGCGGTCGTGGATGGCGTCCTCACCGACATGTCTCGACTTCTAGACATATATCTAATGTGCCCTCATTGAAATTCCGAGAACCGATGGAGGACAGATTGGAATTCGTATATTCGGACACTGGAGCACCCAAGGCCGCCCTGAACTTGTCGCATCTACCTCTCCGATCAACTTCCAAAAGGCATTGCAAAACGCCGACATGACAACTGATGCCGGGAAGGCTATTGGCACGACCGAAGGCTCGGTGCACGTCATCAATGCTGATCTCTTGATCCCGGGTCGTGGCGATCCTCTTTCCAATGCGGCGGTTGTCTACGACACCAGGACAATTCTCTACGTCGGACCGCAGGCGGACATCCCGGACTGCTATAACTCGCTCGACAGGGCACATGTGCCCGTTTTGATGCCAGGACTCTGGGACTGCCATGTCCACCTTCTTGGTTTGGCCGAAGGTGTCAGTGGTCTTTGGAAACTGAATCCGATTGTCTCCGGGGCTCGTAGCGTGCGGGACCTTGAATTACTTTTGAATGCGGGATACACCTCGGTTCGGGAATGCGGCGGCAACGGAATTTTCCTCGACCAAGTTGTCGAAGATGGCTACTGCATAGGCCCCAAAATCTATTCGTGCGGTTCTGTGATCAGCTGCACCGGGGGCCACGCAGATGCTCATGACATCCCGCTCTCCACCTGGCGGGACTCCTGCAGTGGAGGCCTGCAGTGCCATCTATGCGACGGTGTCGACGAATGTACAAAGGCAGTACGGCTCCAGGCCCGGAAAGGAGCAAAGTTCATCAAGATCTGTGCGAGTGGCGGAGTCCTTAGCCAGAACGACGACCCGAAGCACCAGCAGTACTCCGCTGCGGAACTCAAAGCCTTTGTCGACGAAGCTGCTCTCAGTGAGCGGATCGTCGCTGCCCATTGTCATGGGAAGGCTGGAATCATGGCCGCCCTGAAGGCTGGGGTCCGGACAATCGAACACGGGACATATCTGGATCTCGAATGCGTTACCATGATGAAGGAGAAAGGCGCCATTCTGGTCCCCACTCGCACGCTGCACGAGGTCCTCCGAAGTGGCTTATCCGCGGTTTCAGCAACGAAGATGATCGATGCCAGCAAGCATCTGAAAATTGCATGCCAATTAGCGATCCAGTACGGGGTCACGATGGCCCTGGGTTCAGACCTGGGAATGAGCATCCGGGGCCATCCCGCGGCCCACGGCCAGAACGCGTTGGAACTCAGCCTGGCTGTCGATGCGGGCATGTCTCCCCTGGCTGCAATCGAAGCTGCCACCGCCAACGGCCCGCTGACGCTTGGTGCTCAGGCACCACGCTCTGGACAAATTGCTGTCGGCTATGACTCTGATTTCATCGCTCTTTCCAGCAGCCCACTGGAGGACATCAATGTTCTAGTGGACCCGGACAACATCACGCACGTCTGGCGACAGGGCACTCTGTGTAAGGGATCCAATGGCACTGGAACTTCGATACACAGAAGGTAGATATGGTATATATGTTCGCAAGCGGACGAAGCCGCCTTCTAGAGGCCTGAGATCGAAAGGGGTACAAGCAGTATCGCTTCGGGGAAGCGAACTGAGATGACTGATTGCGCTCCCTCTAGTTGCTTGAGCTAAATTCTAATGTATACAAGGAGTGCTTGCTCAAAGCATTATTATCCACCTTTTTGCATATGCATTATTCCACCAAGCGTCCAAGTTTATTAGCCCGAGCATCTCCTGGACACTTACATTCTTGCACATAGTAGTCCGAGACTTTCCATGCGAACTGCTAAGTATCAGCCTACATTCTATCGAGCCTATTAATTTTCAACCCCTTGTAAAAATGCAGACACGATAACTTAAGGGTGAGTAACGGAGTTGGATTGTTCGCTAAGGAGGGAGTCAAATGTTCAGCTACATCTTGGCATCAAGTAGCGATAAATTACGCCACGGAGTTTATTAAGTCTGGGAGTAAACTCGATCATCAAGGTGTCGTTGTTGTAAAATATGAATTCAATCAAGGCCAGGGCACATTCTTGAGTTCTTCTGTCGCCAGAACATGCAGACACATGTATTAGATACTAATCAGCGCCATCTTTGCAGTCGCGTTGGCCCTCTTTGCTCTTTAATTGAGGTTACGCCTGTCAACCTTATCGAAAGGCTCGATTTTGGATATACACTTTCCCGCCTCGACGTTCTTTCCCCTACCCCATGGTGTCCTTACCTACGGTTATCCGGATAGCAATCCTCGCATGTCGTTGAATCACTGCCTAGTAGGACAGGGGCTTTTGAAGTTCACGTGTCATGCCATCTACCCTGTAGGCATTCCGGAAAGATCGTTTCACCATATATTCGACATCTGGCCCAGCAGTCACCGAATCATGCATGTGCTTGAGGTGAGAGCGCTCGAGCTTTAGAGAATACACACCAAAAGAGTCGGTGCCAAAGAAGGAAAAGTTCAAGGTTTAATACTGTTTTGACTTATAACGCTTCAAGACGGGGGAAACTTCCACCACCAAGCCTATTATAAGAAATTGTACATTTAATGTACACCAGACGAAATACTCGCCTAGTCAGCGTGCGGCTTGCTATTGCCCAATGGAGATATCCAGAGACTTAATGCATTTATACAGGCGGGAAGGGGCCAAAAACCATGCAACCACTCTCGAAAGGGCTCTAACGGCCAACTGCCATTCATCGAATTCCCGATATGCGTGCACTTTTTGCCGTGGGAGCGAACAACGCATAATATCCCGTTCGTTATGTATAACCCACCACCCTCTAAATATGTATTGCTTCTTAAAAACATAAACCCCGGCAACTACTTGACGGAGTACGTTCTATCGCGCCTACCTTATCTTCTTACCCTCTAAGCCACTAGCCTCGCGTTCAATACTAGGCCTAGTAGACTTGGCCGCTTTCTTTACCTGGAACTCCTTCTCCTCGGCGGCCTTGAACTCCTTGAGGGTTTGCTCATCGGTGCAGTCGATGTACTACTGACCTACCTGTAGAACCAAAAAATTGACGAGAAGGAAGACTAGACTGGTGTTGTTAGCGGCCAAGACCTTGAGATTGGTTTCACAGCCTAAGACGCTATCTCTAGTACGAAAATAATATCTGGAGTAAATACTCTCTCCTGTCCTCTAGACCCCGATAGCGGCAAACTAGTCCCTAAATTTGATTAAACTTTTCATGTCTCCCCTTAAGGGGCATGTGTAGTGAGATCCCACTATTTCATTGGTGGCACTAATTCAGCTATAGATATTTACTATTTAGAAAGTTCTGCTACGCCAAAACTGGAGATAGGAAGTATCTGACATCAAGTTTAGACTATAATGATTATTGAGTGCCTTCAAATCATAGCATCGTGTAGTAAGAAGCCTTCGCATCCGCTTAATCTGCTAAACCGGAGACACGAAGTGCATATTAATCCTTCTACTTGATTAAGTACCACCTCATGATCAAGGAAAGAAGTGTATACTATTCAATTCTTGATTCAAGCGTAGAAAAGGACGTTTCCCTCAAATAGTCGTCTCGCTGTTCTCGAAACAATGCAACGCTCAAGGGCGCCTTGATCTTGTAGATGAACACCTACGGGGATCTGCCCACTCCGATGTCCGATCATTATTGTCTTGGGAGATTGGGAAACCTGCTTTGTTGGTTGGACTCCAAAGCGGTCGAGAAGCTCAACACTCCTGCAATGTTTATGAGCCACAGTGCCTTCGATGCATGACGCCCCAGCAAGACAGACGGCACCAGTGAGCTGAACGCTTGGATGGATCTGACCCATACTCATAGAAAGGACAGAAATATCGGGCGTGGAGCCTACCTTTCCGTGGCCGTCCAGTGTGTTTGGGGAAGATACCATCATGATTTTTGGGGTTCCACGCGTCAGCGCAGCTTCTTCGACGCTATTTGCAAGTCCCATCATGACCGCACCTTCCCGCCGAATGTCTTCAATGGTCTCTAACCATTCCTCGGAGCCTTGTACAAATGTTGATGGCAATGTTTGAGCGTCGACGATGACGAATGGATTTGCGGCGTCAATGAGGGTAGCCTGAACACTGAATGGGCGTTCCAAGGCCGTCGGGTCTTCGACGGTGATTGTGTCTTCGGTTCGTCCGGTCGGGAACAGCTTCCCAGTCATAGAGCCCGCCGGGTCGACGAAGGCTACCTTGATCTCGGCACCTGGATCAGAAACGCCTGCCATTTGGTAATTTCCCTGTTCAAGAAGCAAGCCGTCCTCATCCACAGCGACCGTCTCGACCAGGACACGCCCAGTGTTCGTGTTCAAAATTCGAACATCAATCTAGGTGAGGTTAGCGTGTCAAGCGAAAAAGAGACCAGAAAGGTTTCGTACGGAATTTTGGCCTGGCTTTGCCTTGACAATACCCTCTTCCACCGCAAAAGGCCCCACACCACTGGCAATATTGCCACAGTTTCCGCTATAGTCTACTTTCTGCTTTCCAACTGCCACTTGTGCAAAGGTGTATTCAACATCGATTCCAGGTGTTTCAGAAGGCGATACAATCGCAACCTTGGACGTCGTCGATGTGGCTCCGCCAATACCATTGAGCTGGCGCGGGTCACCGTTTCTGGACCCCATTGCTGCCAGTATCCAGGGTGACCATAATTCTTGCTGGCTCGGAAGATACTTTCGGTGGATAAAAAGGCCCTTCGAGGTACCAGCCCTCATCCATGTTGCAGGTAAGACGTGTCGCTTTCGGCGGATCCCTTGCACCAGGAAAGGAGGGGGAGAGTCGGGCTTGGTGATCATCGTTCCAGTTGCCGTGACAAGTTGTGCAAAACCTCGAGTTCTAGGTGCACTAAGCCTGGGAGAAATGATTGCAGAAGGGATTTTGACAACTGCAAGGACTGTCATCTATACGTAATATGTTGAAGCTACCTCCTTTGATTCTGCGTTAAGCACATTGAGAGCCGTGATAGAGGATCGTGAAACCCAGCCAATATAATCGTAATCGGAAGTTTATGAGCACTGCGGCATAAACAACAGTCATGGCTTTGTTTTAGCCGTAGAGAATGATGCGGATCCGGCAAGTGGGATTGTGCTGGGGCAATAGAATACTCCCGGGGGTGACTTTCATCGCGCTGTCATCTATTAGCAAAGCGTGAGTTCATCCCTGACTGCGGTTTCCGTATCCGCGGAAAACGGGAGCCGCCCAGGCCTAGGCTCGACAAATTCATTATCCGCGGATGCTGACCTGCGACCGGAACGGCTCCAGCCCGGTGACGTATACCACGGAGAATGACCGATGAAATCTCACAAATGGGAACGTCGCGAAAGCCGTATGACATCGCCCTGGCAATAATAAGGCTCCTGGATCATTTCGGCTTTGAGGGATCTGCGCCCGAGTTCAAAAATCCTTATGAAGGATATGTTGACATTGAGAAATCGTCTAGCATTGAGCCATTGAAGCCGAACAGCAGATCATCGAAAGCGAACGGCTGTGTCGCAAACTGATCATACCATCCGCTGTTCTCTTGCACTTGGTTTGCTGGAAACCCGCCATTTGCGAAAGTCTTATCGCTGTGATCTGCAAAACCAGTTTGCCTATTTGGATCGTCTGCAAACGGTTGCTGACTTGGGTGAGCCGCAAAGGGTATGCTTGAGCCATTTTCGTTCGTTGGAACAAAGCTTTGAATGACTGCATCTATGTCAAGACCAGGTGAAAAGCCATCAGGAAGCAAGGTTTCTTCGGTGAAGTGGTCTCTCGAGGCTAAGTTCTCTGGTATCGGCAGTTGTCTCTCTGACTCCGATCCAAGGATACATGCCTGTGGATTGGCTGTTGCGTTGGGAATCTCAACTTGGAGCCTTTTCATCAAACTCTCAACAATCGTCTTGGCCCTTCGTGCTGCCCAATTTGTCTCTTGGTTTATACTCAAGACTGCAATACAGGTAGTCAAGCTTCTATGTGCATCCGAAGAAGAGGTCCTTTTCGAAGCGATCCGTACATGAATGGTAGCACTAACGTACGTGGCGTAAGAGATGAGATAGGGCGCTCTTCGTACTGAGTATGTTTTGTCGTAGATCCGTAGCAATCTTACGATTTGCGTTGCAGCAGTCGCGCAAGTGAGTAGAGAGTTGACGGACACTGATCGTGCAGTATTGAACAGATGGCCATCGGCCACAAACGGTCGATGAAGCAGAATTAACAGGACGTTATACATCGCCCTGAAGAAAGTCAGACCAAAAAGTCAGCCCGAGGTGTGAAAGCTTACACAAGGGACAAAACGTGAGGTGGCGGTGTCACCGCCTGAGGCCTCAATGGGTCGAATTGCAGGTGTGAAGCGAGCGAAGTATTCCAGGTCTCCATCTTGGAGTGAAGATCGTCAAGCATTTGTGTTAGGTCACTAGGACTGCGGTCGAAGATTCGCTCGGCATATATATTGTTGAGGATCTGATTCATGATCCTGCACAACTCGCAAAGTGCTGTAAATGTAGAGACGCTGTACGCGGGTCCGCCCACGTAATCGTTATTGCTATCAGAGCCGTACGCAAATGGTGCCCAGTTCTCGTTCTCCTCAAATTTGTCCAGGAACGAAATCGGCACACTAGTATCAGCTTCCTGCAGGCTCACAGGTCGTCCTTGGTAAAGACTCATGATTTTGTCCACGACTTATTGGAGTTCAGTACGGGTCTAAGCTTCCAGGGTTGAGACTCACCGAATGCACCCCAGAAGACTCGCCGGCGAATCTCAAGATCTTCATGGGATAAACTGCGACCGCTGGACAGCGTAGCCGCCTCTGCATGCAGGCCAAGGTCAATGATCATTCGAAAGGCCAAGCCCGAGTATAACCATGCTGCACTCCTTTCATCGCCCAAGGCGAAGAGTGAGTTCGCCATTACGAGCAGTGCTTGAATCGTGGTGATCTCGCTCCCATCCAGAGCGTTACCGAGCAGTTCTCTAACTCGTTGTCTAAACTTCCAGCCAGCCGTGCGGACATCATTGGGATCTTTGCGCACTTCCAGACGAGTGCTAAATTTCGAGGATCCATAAAATATGGCATTTAGTAGTATTTTCGAAAAGTAAGGCCCATTGCAAGCCATGTCTCGCATGAAAGCTGGTCGGTAGGTGATCAGAAAGGAGTGGTGCTGTCGATTCCAATGCAGACGGAGTAAGTGCATTCCTAGCTCGGGCTCCACCCCATCAAAGTCTAGTTTGTTCTCCCTAAAGTTGATCACTTCCATTTGTCCTGGGGATCATGAGTAAGTTTTACGAATTTTTGGACAGGTCTTACGCTGCAAGGAGGCTTCTGCCATCAACCCTTTCTCGACCCAGCTTGGTGGAATGACTTCTCTTTTGGATCCCCTTCGGTCATTGGCATTCTCCTCGAACAATGCGCTGGTCTGACCATGATAGCTAGAAGCTCCATTGTCTGAGAAGATAATGCGAGCCACGGATCGGTTTGGCGTTGATTGATCAGTTACTGCAGAGGCTGAGCAACAGCGTCCATTAGAGCGATGGGCGAGGCAGATATGGTGGTCTCAAGCTCACCTGGCTGCGCTGGTTCTTCTTCTCCATGGTCAATGTCGCTGTTCGCGGCAACCACCCCTTCAAATCCGTCATTAGGAACGGGCGTCGCGGTTTTTGGACGCGTTGGCCGTTGAGTTTGCTGTGACAGGCCGGAAGACGCTCGTCGTTGTCTCTCCTCAGCACTAGGCCATTAGTTCTCTTTGTCATTTCCCTCTAACATCGTAACAAGATCTCACCGTGCAGAACGTGCGTTTTGTGAGTACACACAATCATGCCCATAGGTCTTGCAGCTACTGCAGGTCGGCCGTTCACTGGTACACCTGATCTAGCATGTAACGAAGCTGTGCTTAGCTAGATACTTCGGTCCAAGGTCTTAGGGAAGGCTGCTACCTTTCTCCGCTTGCAGAAATCGCATGCCTCGAAAACGCGTTTCCGTGGCTTCCCTTTGGCAGTAGTAGCCTTTGGGGCAACAGGGACGTCCATCTGGATGTGCTCGCCACGCAGGAGAGAAGTAGGAAGCTGATTTTTGCCGCGGGTAAAACTCTTTGCGAAGAACTAAATGTGCGGGGTGGGAAAGCTCGAAGTGGCGACGGAGGCAATCTACCCCACAGGTCTAGACTGCCAAATGAGGGTGCCAAAGGCTGATAGTGTCCTCTGCAAGGAAGTGTGACACCCGCGAAGAGAGCCTGGAGGATGAAGCCATCGGTTGAAAACTCCCCAGCTGAAAGCCTGAGCTAAAGACAAGCCTTTCAACTGACGAGACGCCAAGCCAAACCTTGAATCCCGAGGTGTTAATCTCTGCGGGGTATTACAACTGATGGCCTCTTCTCAACGAGAATGCGAGCCATGGCCAACCAAAACGTGTTTCATTGCCAGTATAGGATGTGCCTATGTCATTGCTGTCGAATTCGATAGCTTTCCTCTTTCAAAAGGATTTGCTGTACAATCAAACAGACCTAGCCAAAGCCGTAGGATCAAGCTTGACATCGCTTTCGCTAATACGATGCCCACGACCCTCGAAGTCCGGATTCCCGTTGCTCAAGCATAGGGAGTCTAGGTCAAGTATGCCTCAACTACTAAAATGCGATTCGATACCAACTCTGCCGTGAATAATCGCCAAATCCTATTATCCGTGGACATACATCAGGGACCACTGTGAGCGGCTTGAAGTGGTGCAAAGCTTGGCAAGCCATGAACCACGTGACGATACACGACGGACGGATAACTGTTGGCTACGCAGACCGATCAGGTGATTAATTAGTCTCGCGACGGCAATAGGCACGAGTTGCCGAACAAGAACGCGGCTTTTGGTTCGGCAACTTCTCGGCCTTCATCGAGCCGCAAAATGACAGTATGCGCGGATACTGACCATGCCACCGCTTCCGCGGCAAGTGGCTGTAAGATGCCCTCGCGGTGGCCGCCTCCCGTCAGATAACATTATTGACAACAGTCCGACCATGTTAGTATCTCCACAATGCTTGCCAGCTGGGACAGGTATAGTCTATCCTTTGTATACCATATCTCGTGTTCTGCTACAGATGGCAATTTCAAGATAATTCTGTGAAAACCCCCACGACTACTTTGGCGAAACACTTTCTCAGTACTTTCATTCATAGTACCAGTAAACAGACCTCTGTATATCCAGACCACTCGACAAAATTGTTTCCAAAATGGCATTGGCACCGGCACCACTCCTGTCGCCGATCCCGGCTGCGCAGGCTGTTTCGGCACCGGCACCAGCACCTAAGGTGAGTTTAGTGGCGAGAACCACGATTCATGGTGGACTGACATTATGCAGGCCAAACATCATATTGCACCTGCTCTATCACTATTTGCTGGGGGTGTAGCTGGAGGTGTCGAGGCTGCTGCAACAGTAAATGTCATTTGATGAATTGAAAGTTCCAGACTGACGATTTGAAGTATCCCTTCGAATTTGCAAAGACGAGGGCACAACTAAAGGGCTCCAACTTGTCTTCTTCAAACCCCATTTCTCTCATCACGCAAACGATACGTGGAGAAGGTTTAGGTGCAATATACACCGGCTGTTCAACTTTGGTTGTGGTAAGTGGCTTTGCCAGGATGTTTTGCTCTCGGCTAAGACGGTACAAAGGGAACCACCCTCAAAGCTGGCGTTCGATTTCTCTCTTTCGATGCCGTCCGAAACTTGTTCGCGGACGAGCACGGCCGGTTATCGCCAGGGCGGGGCGTACTTGCGGGAATGGTGGCCGGCTGTGTCGAGGCCAGTGTAGCTGTGACGCCTGCCGAGCGTCTGAAGACAGCAATGTGAGTTTACAATATGATCCAAATGTTCGTGACGCAAATTAATGTCAATAGAATTGATGACGCGAAAGGTCAAAAGAGGTTCAATGGCGGAGTCCATGCTTTCAAGACAATACTAAAAGAGCAAGGCCTAGCGGGCTTATATCGAGGCATTTTTCCGACAGTGATGAAGCAGTCTGCCACATCAGCAGTCCGCATGGGTTCATACAATGTACTGAGGGAATACACCAAGCGACAAAACATTCCCACTAACAGCATAACCACATTTGCAACTGGTGCAATCGCTGGGACAATCACCGTCTACGCCACTCAGCCTCTTGACACAATCAAAACGAGATCGCAGGGTGCATCTAAGGTTAGCACTGTGAATGCAATCCGCGACATTTTCTCCACCTTGGGAGTACGGGGTTTCTGGCGTGGAAGCACCATGAGATTGGGTCGACTGGTCTTCAGTGGTGGAATTGTCTTCACGGTATACGAGAAGATCGTTGATGCATTGGGTCCACTCACGCGATGATAATCAATAGGTATCCTAGATCATTGCACTCACTGGCGTTATTAGACTGGGCACTCACTGGCGTTATTAGACTGGGCTTGAACAATAGAGCAAAGCAGCAGGGCGGGAGTCCCAAAAGTTGCGCAAGGCATTCTGGGCCATGTTTTGGATATATTGATGTTTGATACAGGCGGGCGGGCTAGTACCAAACGAGGCTGCCAGGAAACTGTGAGCACCAGGAATTTAAGAATGATATATTACAAACACTTAATCATTTCCACGTGCACACAAAGGGCATCTGATGCTAGTAACGATTGGTGGCTGTCCCTTGAGCGTTCTCCCAGATCCTCAGGCATTAGGTGTATTCCGGGGTATCATTGCTCGTATCTGACGCGGTGTGCGCCGTGTATCCAACCCAGAATGCCTGGAGAAAGACTGCAAGGACTGCACCCGCTGCGACAACGGGTCTCCACACCTTGCTGCTCCCATAGAAATTCCATACCCGTTGCTGAATCCGCAAATTTTATCATAACCGTATTCGAAAGGCTCCCATATCCGGGGTGCAGTCCATCTATCCACGGCTATGGACACACATCAGGTATAAAGACTTATCCGCTGCTTGTTAAAAAGAGTTCGCCCAGCCCTTGGCTCTGCTTTCGCAGTCCTTGGCTCCAGTCACGCCCCCGAAATATTCCTTCCCCAGGTGGTACCCCCTCCGCATTAAGCATGGGGAAGGTGTGGCACGCCCCTTGGCACCCCTCTGTTGGCTTTGAAGGGAGTGAACGAGACTTTCATCCCGCCGCGGATCCCGATTTTCTACCTCACACCACGGTTTCCAGCACAGATCAGAATATAAAAGTTATGGGCCCCCCCTCCACAGATCAGACATCGTCAACAAGTTTCAGCAACCAGAATCAGAATCAGAATCAAAATCAAGACTCGCAACAATGACTCAGAAGGGCACTGTCGAGACGATCGTTGTCAGCAATGACGAGAAGTTGGAGGAGAAGCTCGAAGGCGAAACCAACCAGGTCGAGCGAACTTGGCTCCTCCCTGCTGAAATCCAACATCGATTTGATACACTGCGAGATCTCAGCGATGAGCAGATGACTGCGCTGGACAAGAAAGTACTGCGGAAGATCGACTGGCGCCTCATGCCTTGCATCACACTCATGTTCTTGATGAAGTACGCATTCCAGCCTAACAACATGAGACAAATTCCAACTGATGACTTCACAGCTATCTCGATCGTATCAACGTCTCCAACGCTCGTCTGGCGGGCCTTCAGGAAGATCTCAACATGTCTGATACTGTCTGGAATGCGGGTATCAGTACGTTCTACGTCGGATATCTCCTTGGCCAGTTGCCAGGAAACTTGTGGCTCGCCAAGTCCAATCCCAGCAAGTTCTTGCCCATTATCATGCTTGCATGGAGTATTGCGACTATCTGCATGCCTGCCATGACAAGTGGCGCTGGATTTTGTACCGTTCGCTTCGTCATCGGCTTCTGTGAGGCGCCTTTCTTTCCCGGTATCACACTGATAACCTCATCATGGTACAACAAGCACGAGAATCCAACTCGCATGGCTATCTGGCACGCTGGCAACACCATCTCAAATATCATCTCTGGCTTTCTCGCCGCTGGTATTCTCGAACACATGCAAGGAACCGCAGGACTCAAGAGTTGGCAATGGTTCTTCCTCATTGAAGGTATGGCATCTATACTCGTGGCTCTCGTTGGCTTCTGGGTCCTCCCAGATTGGCCACATAACACCAAATTCCTCAGTGAAGAAGAGAAAGAGATGGCACAGTACCGTGTGTTGGTCTCAAACGGTGGCATCGACGAGGGCGTTGGGGGCACCTGGGACGGACTCAAGGCTGCTGTTGCAGATCCTTTTACATGGCTCTTCTGCGGAATGCACTTTGCCCTCATCACGGCACAGAGTTTCAAGGATTTCTTCCCATCGATCGTCAAGACTTTTGGCTTCGACAAGATGACTACCTACCTTGTTCAAGCACCACCCTACGCTATTGCCTACATGACCGCGTGTGGGCTTGCTTGGACATCTGGTAGATATCAGGAGTCATGCTGGCACATTGTTGGCCCAATCATCGCCGCTGCTGCTGGCTGCGCCATGCTGATCTCCACTCTGAACGTCGGAGTTCGATATTTCGGTATCATCCTCCTCATCAGCGGCACATACAATGGTCTCAATTTGCAACTATCTTGGGAAACTACGCTTGTGCCAGCACCCAAAAGCAAGAAAGCTGCGTTGATCGCCATCGCCAACTGCGTTTCGCAGACGAGCCATTGGTTCAGCCCCTACTTCTTCCCTCGATACCAGGAGCCTTACTACAGACTCGGCGGCGGTCTCATTCTCTTCGGCTGTCTTATGACCTGCGTGATTTGTGGTTTAGTTACATGGAGAGCTAAGAGGCTTAACAAGAAGCTCGATGAGGCTGAGGGTTGGACTCCTCACTCTGGAAATGAGCGAGGATGGCGCTATGTTTACTAAGCAATTAGCGTTGATGTCTCACAGGTTGTCTAGGAGAAACGACGTGCTTTTAAAAGAACGACAAACGGCAGATCTCTAAGAATCCAATACTAAGAATGATTTCAGGACAAGGGAGATCGAGGCTGACAGTTATGTAATCATTTAACTTTCACGTCGTTCCAACGGCGAAAATTAGTCATCATTTTACGAGTTCACCACACTTCCCATTGCTAGTAAATCCGAGAAATACTGTAGGAGCTTGTTTTCCTGCTATTATCGCTTATACATGCTCCCTATCGCGGGGAAGGAAATGCTGTCTGTCTACTACTCACAGCGTTGTTATTTAGAAGCTGACACCTAATTGAAGAACCGATGTATCTCGACGCTGAAACCAGAGGAGCAAGAAGGGTCGAAACCCATCGGGGGGTCCTCTTCCCAGTGCCAAACGCCATTTCAAATAAACAAGTCATTCTTGAATCATTGTATTGAACATAGATACATTACTAGATACGCGACGTCATCTAGAGTGCATAGCTTCCGAACAGGTTTGCCACCCAGGCCGGGCAGCAGACATGGGAAACCAACCCTACTTGCCCTCGATTGTCTCACTCGTAGCCTTTTCTTCGTCAACCACTCGAGCAGCAGCAAGGGTACTAGCTTGTGGCCCGCCAAACAGCTCGTCCATAGACTCCATATCGAGGCCCCTTGTCTCAGGGACGAAGAAGAATACGAACAGAACCGCAGCGACAAGGAACGAAGCAAACACGAAATAAGTACCGCCGCCAATGTTGGTGATCATGTACGGGACGCTTCGGGCGAGCACGAAATTCATCAGCCAGTGAGTCGCGGTGCAGAGCGCAACGCCGATGCCTCGAATGCGCAGGGGAAAGATCTCAGAGCAGTAGATCCAGGGTACGCCGGCCCAGGAGAAGCAGAAGCCGATTGCATAAATGTAGATCAGCGTGCAGGCGGCGTAGCCACCCGCAGAGATGTGTGTTGATGCACTGGGGTTGCTTTTGATCACATAGCCGCCAATGTACCACATGCATGCGGACATGAGTGCCGAGCCCCAGATAAGCATTTTGGTTCGTCCAAAGCGGTCGACCACAAATGTCATTGCAATGACGACAGCGATGAATCGAACAATGCCGTAAATTCCCGTGGCGTAAAGACCGGTATTGCTACCAGTCAAGCCGATTGATTTGAAGATCCGGGGGGAGTAGAAGTTGATGGCGTTGGATCCCGCCATCTGCATGAAAATGAAGATCGTGATGCCAATAGCAATACGGTTGCGATTTCCAGGTCGCGCAAGCTCCTTGAACTCAGCCATGATGCCCTTACCAACGGTACACTGACGTTCGTACTCGATTTGATTGATGATGCGGTCGATCTCTTCCTGTACGTAAGGATGCTCGGCTGGCAGGTTTCGGAGTTTGGAAAGCACCGCAGTGGCCACTTCTCGACCTTTGGTTCTTGCATACCATCTGAGTGAATGTTAGAACTAGGAAAATTGCTGCGAACTCGGTCGGAACACTTGTCGTACCTGGGTGAATCTGGCAAGAACAACATGCCAATGATTAGAATACCGCCGGGAATGAGTTGAATGGCAAACGGTATCATCCATTGAGAAGTACTGGGCGCCATGTTGACCTTCAATCCATAATTGATCCAGAAGCCAACGCAAGTACCTGCTTGTACTCCAACTTCATAGATACCTACTAGACGGCCTCGGATTTTAGGAGGTGATACTTCGGCAATGTAAAGAGGCACTAGCATGCTAGCCGCACCAACCCCCTGCAGATTAGATTAGCCGGGTTTGATGGGAGAGGTACAACGGGTCTTACCACGCCTCCAACCGCACGGCCGGTGAACATGACAGGTATATTCCCATGTGATACTGTTTGCATCAATGATCCGACGCAGAAAATGATACCAGATAAGATAAGAGCCCGTTGTCTGCCGAACTTATCACCAATCTGAGCTGCTGCGAGCGATCCAAAAAAACATCCAGCTTGGAGCAGTGAGACAATATTTGCAGAGAAGGCATCCGTGTTACCCTCCAGCTTGAAATCCCTGTTTACTGAGGTTAATACGCATCAATGCCAGACAGCCATCTGCAAACTGACTTTTTGAAAGAGTCGAGGGAAAGTGTTGTCCCAATGAAGGCCAGATCATAGCCAAAAATGATAGCGCCGAACGAAGCGACAATCGCCAGGACGTACACGCGATAGTTGTAAACCTCACGGGGTGTCTCGGTGCTCATAGGCTCCACCGCATGCCTTGAAGGACGCATTGTTCGTTGGTGAGTATCTGCCTGTCACTGTGACCTGGTTCTCGAAAATCTAGTGTTTTATCTTTGCGCAGAAATCGAATCTTTCCAAAGATGACAAGAGTTGGCCAAGGCTTCTGGGCAAGACTTGGGATGCTTGAATTGCGCAAGCTTTCAAGCCGCCCAGCAGGACTTTATATGTGTCGCTCAAACTGGATCTGATGGAAGAGGGGAACAGCTGGAGTAGTCAAAATGCCGCGCGTTTCAGCACGCTCCAACCATCAGCGGAGAAGCGGGGATGGTAGTGGTAACGCATGATGCACTACTCCGTGGATATGCGGGATAGTGCGGGGAGTACGATCCGCGGATAGTGAGCGGAAGGTTATTCTTTCCGTCGGCCATTCGCTCTGGGTCGTGGTTACGGGTGTCCCAGAGAGTCGTCCCGAGAGCCAGAATGGGTCAGTGCATGAGCAAATTTTGAAATCTTCACAAAAGAAAACAAGAAGTCCCACGCAAGCATAGGAAAGCCAAAATCGATAATCACGAGACAAAAACTTATCCGCAGAAGAACGTCTGGTGACCATGCTGTGTAATGTGGGCGGAGTCGTCTTTCTCTCTACAGAGTCAGCGTGATCAGAATGTTCGGCTAGGATGCTATCGAGCTCAGAGTCGCTGACTAGACTATATCGTTTATTAATGCAAACCAGATTTGTCGATGCCCAAGGAACAAAGCGCCTTCTACCGATCGATAATTCGCAGAAGCCTGGAGGCAACAGCAAGCACGCCAAGGCATTCCTCAGACTCAAGTTGTATAATTTGTCTACGTGATGTTCAGTGATATCTTACGCTTGTCAAATCACTAGTGGGCTAAGAAGCCGGTGGAGCAGGCATTAAACTGGAGCAATATAATGTTGGTATGGAGGCCTGTGAATAGATGGACTGGCACATCTTTACCCTGCTTCCATTTCGACCACCTTAATCCATGCTTGAAGGTCCCACCTCCGTATCCCGGGCTTCTTCTCTCTTTCTCGATCTTTCGGCACGGCGTCTATCTTTATGTGCATCAACTCGATTCCTCCAGGATGGACCCCACATGATGGTCGCCCACACTCCAACAGCCCCAAAGACCAGAAATGACGAGCTAATGGTACTGAACCAGCCAACACCAATCCCATTGATCGCCGGAAGACAAATGGCACTGCCTAGTGCTGCGAAGAAGTAACGGATCATGTAGTTGCCAGCAACGACCTCGGCTGACAGACCATGACTTTGCATGACGTCCAGAGCATAGGTATTGAGACAGGGGAAGCAGAGCCACTGTACGGCTCCCTGAACAAACAGTGTGATCACAGGGAGACCGATGCCGCCAAACTCCGCCTGCACGCTCCAGCCATATAGTATGATCGAGACTGGAAGGACGACTCCTAGCCAAATATAACAGCTTCGAAGTCGATCTTCTGCGATCCGCGCCCCGCCTCTTCTGCCAATCCATTTCTTGACTATGTTATCCGCCAAGCGTCCACCGAGCGGACTTCCAGCAAGGTAGCCACATCCAGGGGCAATATAGAATAACCCTGACTGCATAGGGGAGGTCAGATCAAAGCGAGGATTGAGCACATATCGGATGGCGGTCAAGATCGAATACATATTCCAAATCAGTGCACTAGAGGCGAGCCCCGTGATCAAAAGATTAGGGTAGGAGAATAAGAGAACCACAACACGCCAAGGAGACATCCATGATACCACCTTCACAACTCGACTCGTTGGATTCGGTATCGCTTGCAGCGTCCTAAGTTTCGTCCGTGGTATTGTCTCCGGTAGGAAGAATAACAGCAAAACAGTCGCCAGCCCACCCAGTGAGGCTTGGACCCAAAAGATGACTCTCCAGGAATGGAAAGTGACGATGACGCCTCCGATGAAGGGACCAAAGGCAGGCCCGACAATGGTCCCTAGGGCGAACCATCCAAGAGCAGTGGCCCGGGCTGTCGGCTCGTATATGTCTGCAAGACATGAATTACCGACAATCAGTAACCCTGTACCCTGAAACGACGTCAAGATCCTGAAGACAAAATAGGCGCCGAGGTTAGGTGCGAGCGCAGTGCCAATATTGAACGCGCAAAATTGCACTGCAGAGGCAACGTTGACCCAACGACGTCCAAATACGCTAGACATGGGACCCCAAAAGCAAGCGGAGAAGCCCATCGAAAGCAGGTAAAGTGCGTTGGACACGCTGATCATGTCTCCCGAAGTGTTGTAGTCCGCAGCGACTTCCGGGATGGCCGAAAGGATCATTGTCGACGATACTGGTGACAACAGTGCACAGAATGCGAGGATACAGGTGATGACAACTTTGCGGGCCAGCGTAAACCGTGTGTATTGTTCAGCGTCAATATCAACCGCTGGTGCCACCGGAACGATATCCTGGGGGGATCTGGGGCCGAGGCTTAAGGAGATTGTACGACTCCTTTGCAGGTCGAGAACCTCGACGTCCTCTCGATATTCTCTTGGTGAGACTACCATCACCTTGGGTGCACAGTGAGTCGATTTTGTGCCGATTGGAACCTGGTCTGGTCTCATTGAGCCCGAGCTCGCCGCGGGGGCCTGCTCTGGCATGGTGGCGAGGAAGTGGGTTGAGGAAGCTACCTATCATGGTAGCTTCCGATACTGGAGAGGTATGATAATGGTCCAAACAGCCTGTCGCCGCACAGGATAGGAATAGCAGCAGTTACAGTTGAAGTGAACGTTCAGGCCAGTCAAAGGGCCAAGATCAGTAATTATACTGGCTGCCAATGCTTCATACCGAGGCCGAAGCCATCTTTTCAAAAATGGTCAAAGGTTGTCTCATAGGAGCCAAGGATGGACAATCTTGATCACTCCATTTTCGTGTCCAACTTAATAGGTTAATATCGTTCTTTGCTAGATGCACTGAGATAGAACAGTAAACACCTGTCTCCCTGGCGGGAGACCGAGATAGGTGTTAGGCTGGGCCCCACGAGCCGGATTCCTGCGATTGCAGGTCATTGAAACGCCAATAAGCGTCTGTCGGAATAAGGCGAGATGTGTGGTTGCCACCCTTCCGCGGCTTGCGATAAAGTTCGCAAGCAAAGTATTGTCTCAGCTTAGGATGTCCCCGCATGCCCCTTGCTGAGGCCATCGCTTTTCGCCGCATGCTTTGCGTAGTGTTTTGAGAGATTTAGATAGTCCTGCTGCTGCATTATCCGAATCGTTCTCTAAATATGACAGCAGTGATATGCAAAGTTCGATGTCGTGTTTCAGTCGTTCCACGACCTCGAGATCCTGCTCACTGGTCAGGACATCCATGAGAAACACCCCGGCTGCACACATGGAGTGTACAGCTGACCATGGAAGCGGCGCCAGGAGCAGGGTTGGCTTCTGAGCACTGGAGGGGAACAGCTCGCCTTCCACGATGGAACTTTGGCCCAAATAGAGGCTAGAGAAGCTGCGTATGACCTCTCGAGCTACAGCCACAGCTTCGGGCGCCGAAGTCTGTTCTCCAACTGGTTGCATGTGAACCCGCAGAAGCGCTTCAGAGTGGTGAAACGTGCCGTACACCTCAAGCCACGAGATGAGACTAGCCCTGGCGGTGGTGTTGTCGGACCCTTTGTCGCATACCGAGTGAATACTCTGCGTCCACTTCCCAAGCCATGCTTCGATCCCTTCTTTGCAGCCCTGCAATTTTGCCTGGACTTGGAGGTCGCCAAGTTGCGAGCCTAGACTTGCCACGTGAGATCGATATTTGAACCGTGATAGCTCGTAGAGGAGGTGGGGGAACACCCTCTGGTCGGTTGGGATCTCCATCTTCGAGATGAAATTAGTAACCTCTATCATAAGTATAGTAGTGCGATACACTCACATTAGCCGGAACCTCGGCCTCAATGAGTTGCGGTGGTCGCCCATATGAGACGCTGAGATCGCTGATGGCCATGTTAACGAAGATTCGGTGACGGCTTAAGGAACTGCGCAATACTCACGTCTCCATTCGGAACAAAGTCGTGTAGATGATCCATTCGTCCCATGAGGGATTATCCTGCGAGTATAGCACTCTTCGCAGATCCATGGCAGATCGCGAAGCCTGGCCACTCCATCTCCAGACATTGCCTGCTGCAGGATCCAGCCAGAGATACATGCAGACGAGAAGGTTCAGACGCACTGAAAGCACCGAAGGATAAGTTAATGCAGACATCACGGTACCAAGCTCACTTCTCGCGCGCTCAAATAGTGTCATGGACCAGTCTTTGAAGTCGCGATTTTTCTTGCTCAGCGTTCGAGTTGTAATGGCCAAAACAAGATACAATGTCACATTCATTTCGGTCGTAGCGGAATCGCCAGCCCTCGTCTTGCGATATGCGATATCAACTGCGACTTTGGGAACTGCAGCTCCCAGAATAGGAAACAACAGCTCGATTGAGTGCTGATACTGGTGTACAAGCATTTCGGCCACATGATGAGGAGGACTAGTACTTGTTCCTCCGCGGCTGGGTCGAGCCGGAGCGAGCATGGATTGCAAAAATTCCTCCAATCCAGGGGGAGAAACAACACAGAGGGGCATATCCATCAAGGCCATTTTTGAAGCAAGCCGAAAGAGCTGGTCGAAGACGCTCATAGAACCAAGTTTCGAGGCAGCCTCGGCCAGAGTGTGGTCCTCGTTCAGGAAGTCGTTCGCCTGATTTTCATGCCTGCGTGCGGGGAAACTAGTCGCTGACAAGGATGAGGTTTTCTTTTCTTGTTGAATGGGAGTACCCCGGCTTGAGCTGCTAGCCTTCTTCAACGCAGACCGGAGGTTCTCGTAATTCTCTTTCAAGGCACAGACATATTGCCGGGGGATGTCCTTCATCAGAACGGGGTCATAAAACTTGCACTCTTCGCCCAGTTTTGTACACTGGCGGCAAGAGGGCAGCATGCGATCGCATCTGGTCCTCCGTTTTCGGCAGTATCTGCAAGGTGGCAGATGTTTGAAGGCAATTTCAAGGTATCGCTCGGTGGATGAGAGGTCAAATGTCAATTTTGATGGCGTTTCCACCTGTGTCAGGACAGGTTCTACGTCGAGAGTAGGTAAGATATCCAGATCGCTGTAGGCAGAAAGAGAGACAAACTGTGACCAGTCGACATCGTCAAACTCCAGGTCAAAGGTAGAGAATTCAACGCTGTTCAGGTTCTGAACCTCGATATTTTCCATGGGCTGGCTAATATTGCGCCAGTTTTGTAGATTGGCCATCTCCCTACCGAAGTCAAACTCTGAGCGTCCTCCAAAAGCTGGAACATATTGCGTGTCACCTGGGCGGTGTAGTACCATGTCGTCGATGATGACGAGATTGTTTGAGAAATTGCTAGGCTTAGACGTCCCAGAAACGCTGAAGAAGCTCCTGAGCGCCTCCTTTTTGACCTTGTCGAAGAATTCGCCACATTGCCACGCTGCCGGCCATCGGTCAGCCAAGGCACAGAAAATATTTGAGATTTTGTTGAGTACGTCTAATGCCGAAGTGAGGCCGTTCGGCAGAGTGTCTGTGAAGGAGGTGGACTGGCTCCTGATGTTGTAAAGCAGAACAATGCCGATCTCGAAGCAATTGTGAATTGTATGCCAAGGAAACCTGGAACGTCCTTCGCGGCATGATTCCCAATATGAGGCGGTTAGATTCTCGGCGGCTGTGAAGCATGTGATTATCGAAGTGACATCCGGACTGGGGTTTGGTAGACAAGGCCGGTGGAGGGTGAAGACGTTATACCATGTGGCGAGCTCTATCCAGTACGGCATGACCTGGCTGTCAAACATAGCTTGTGTACGCCAATTCAAGACCTTTTGCCCCATTTCTTCTCGCCAGTCGGCATATGAAGGCTGAGGAAACGGTTTATTGCAGAATTGAACGGCGCATATCTCGGACTGGATTTGCCTGTGGCGTATACCATTGATAAATCTCAAGTAGTCTAGCGTCTCAGGAGATTGTCCATTGATATCGCTGATGCCCGCGCACGGTGGCGGGTCGGGAAATTGAATGGAGATGTTCTCGTCCCGAATGGCGAAGCACCGGTGGCCTACTAGATTGATTGATCTGTCCAATATATAACACTGATAGGGTTAAGACTTGCAGCTCCTCATTAGACAGGGAGGGTCCGACTTACTGACCAAAACAAGGCACGCCTGAACTGAATGATACATGAGGGCATCCTTGGCGGCACTGTTCGCTCCTGGTGCAGGCCCAATTCGGTAGCTAGTCGCATGGCTTCATTGACCAAGTGAACCAGATCGCCAGTGTGAGGCAAAAGGAAACCGAGTTGGATGGAGAGAAGCAGGCATTGCAAGGACTGGATGCTTGTCGTACCAAGAGCACTCGCATGGGCCCGTGCTTCTGTATGGAGGGACTCCGCCAATGCTAACGGTCGATAGATATCATCCGATTTTGATGTCATGGTCGTGATGGCCATGATCATGGACATGATGTAGTAGTGTGTCGCTGGAGCGTTGGGATGGTCTAGCGGCCCATAAACGGAATTGAAGAGGTCCTCGAGGTCATTCACCAGGAAGATGGGATATTGCGGCAGGATCTTGGAAATGTAGGTGTCCAGCAACGTTCTGGCGACCGAGACAGGGACAAAGCTCTTCAAGCCTTTCCTGAGTGGAATGCTCATTTGTCTTTCGTCGCCAGCATTGGCCCGCCACAAGGGAGTAGGGAGGTGGGCCTCATGCAGCATCACGTTCAGATAGGGAAGCTCTTCACTGTTTCGGATGACGTCCGTGCCACAGAGTAGATTTTGCGCGTCGGCAGTGACTTTTGAGAGAACCGCCATAGCATGGTCCGCAGACTCTTCCGGGCGTGGTAAACCGATATGAGTGCTGGACGAACCTTCTGCGAGGATTTCGAAGGCTGTCCCCGTCTCCGGGTTGACGTTTTTGTCTCCGTCCCTTGTACTGATCTCGATCTCCAGCTCGGCAATTGATTGTTCCAGAAACTTGACGATGCTAAAGTGCGGTTAGCATTGATCGTGTCGACAGCATTCGTGGACCAGGTATGTCCTGTGCGTATATGATAGGGACTAACCTTCTTGGAACATCATTCTCCGACTCGCGGTCAATGCTTACGCACTCGACGCCAGCAGCTTGACAATTACTGCAGGCCGGGAATTTGGCATCGCAGCGCTTTTTTCTGCGAAAGCACCGTGAACAGGCAAATGCCTGACGGCGTGCCATCTTATCCAACTGGAGCAAGTGGTGACTCGTGGAATTTCAGTGCTCAGTTCACACGGTCTGAATATTGAAAAAGCCTCAGTCTTATATGGGAATCGAATACATTCGGGGCATGATGTGGCACAGATAAGCAGAATGCACCCGCTGTTATCTCTTCAACTGCGGGTGCTGGCCGAGGCAGCAGAGCCGAGGAGGGGCGATGACGGACTTGGACGTATTTAAATTTGCGCCAAGTCATCAACAGGTCCAACAAATGCGTGTCGGTAGCGTCTCAGGTCGAGAACCTTACAAACGACACTGATTTACGGCGCTTTGACGATGCGGAGAAGAGATTATTGCCTCTCGCGGCGAAGGATTAGGCTAACTGTTATCACCGTGCAAATCATCTTTGCCATTGGATTGATTGACACATGCAGATATCAAGATCGTCCGAGACACAAACACAGTAACCATTCATAAACTTCTGCCAGCGTCTCCCCTTTCTTAGTACACACCGTACATTCGCCTCACTTCAATGCGTCATAGTCGCATTGGCGGCGTACTCGTAGTACTTCGCGGTGGTCCTCTTTCGCTCGGCTTTTCCAATGAAGATGAAGATGAGAAAAGTGCTTGTGAGACCCAGAGCGAGGAAGGCACAGGTGATGAAGGTGTTTCTGATTCCAACATTCTCGAAGAATGGTGTAATGGCATACCCCATTGCGAAACCCATGGTGTTCCTGATCAGAGTCATGGTGATCATACCTTCCCCAAGAAGCTGAAACATGTCAGAAAAAAGACAAATCAATCGGTCCTCGCTGTTCTCACCATAGGATAACTATCACTGATGTACGCGATCGGTGATGCTCCGCCTAATACACCGGTGAACCCAAGCAGAAATGCACCAAAAAGCACGCCAAACCAATGGATGCGACCAGAGCCAACACCCCAGAGCAGCAACCCCGTCAAGAGGCCGAGTGAGCATGCGATGTATAGCCACAGACGTTGTTCTGGTTCTCGGATGCCACCATTTCGTCGAGCCATCCAGAGGTGGAATCGGTCTCCGAACCATCCAGAATATGCTGATCTGAGAGGATATCATCAGTTATAATGTGCATGAAGAAGGAATGGGAAACTTACCCAACCAACGCACCCAGGAATGGGGCAACATCTGGAAAGATCAAACCCGGTCAGTGTCACAAACTCCAAGACGAGCCGGGAGCAGAATATCAAGGGCTCAATGATTAGTGGTCGACTTACACGCCACTCCAGTGATTCCAGGACTGAAGTTGTACGGCTCCGCCTGCAAGATGGTGGTCCATGTCGCATTTAGGACGACGAAGAACATGAGGTAAGTCCCATATTGACTGGAATGAGAATCAGTGGCTGCGATGCCATCTCGTGGGTCTGGAGACTTACAATCCAGCCATGGCCATGATTGGAAAGGTAATCACATGCTTCAAAGGTCGAATCATCATCGCCCGCAGCTTGTTCTCCTTGCCGGGGGTCACCCTAAACAAGGCCAACCTTTTCGACAGCGTCAAAGGTTCATAAATAAGGATATCTCCGGAAGCAACAGCTTCGAGATTGTTACTCGACTCTGAGGGTGTCTTTGCAGACTTTTCCTCGCTGTTCATTTCCTTAGTTTGAAGCTGAGTCTGTTGGGATTCAACAGAAGCTGGCATGGAGGCCTCTCTAGCAGCCTGTCCCCGTGCGAGAGCCTGTTGCTGCATGAGACTCCTGTCGTACATTGTTTCGTCCATGAAGAAATAGAGAAAGATAATGCTTGCTCCCTTAAAGATGACGGGAAAATAGAAGCACCACCTGAGGAGAAGGTCAGCGCGGGCTGAGACGAGACGATGTCATGTCCGGGGACTCACCTCCAATCCATAGTCTGCGCCACATAGCCTGCAGCAATGGGAAACAAGAAACTGGCACCTCCAAGCCACATCAAGAAGAGCCCAACGTGGAGACCTCTCTCATGGGTGAAGAACATGTCTGGCATGGACTGCTCTACCAGAGCCTCAACAGGCGCACCAAAGAACCCATATAGGAAACGGTGCGCGTACCAAGTGCCAGCACTTGCGGTGTATGGGGCCCACAAGTTCATAGCCTTATTTCACTGAAGATTAGAATTCTAAGCGGGCGAAGTTGAAGTTGACCTCTGACTTACCATACAGCCCAGGAGAGATATGAGGTAGACACCTCTACGGCCATACTGTAGACCGATTGGGCACCTGATGATGGTCAGCCTCAGTATCTTCGACAAGTCATGTATGCGTACTCACCAAAACAGACAGCCCCATCCAAGAATCAAGAACATGACTCCGATTGCAGAGTTGAGAGTTGAGAGAGGAATACCAGTACTTTCGATGATCTGTGGATAGACAGCATATCCTGTCGCGGTCCCTCCAGCTATCATAAATGTATACCTGTCCTAGTATCAATTGAAGGTCTAGATCTTTGTGGCCATCAAGGGGTAATTTACAGTTGAAGGCAGAACGAGTTTAACCACTTCCTCTTCTGGCTCCAGTTGAGAGGATCGTTGGGATCCGAACTTGGTGTTGGGTACAAGACAACATCCTTCTGGGATTTGTCGTGTACCGCACCCATCGAACCATCCAGATCGACCAGATGGACTGTGCCAGTGATTCCCATCTCGACAACATTATCCACGGCCTCGGCATCTCGGTAACCAGTAACTTGCGGCGCCATGGTGGGACACAAGGCTGATTCAGCTCAACCCTGTGATCAACGTAGTAATATAGTAGTATTATAGGAGACCTTGTTCCCCAAAACGCAAAGTCAAAGGCTGCAAAAGATCCTCTGCTCCGGTACAAAAGATTGATGTTGTAAATCGGTAAAGACGAGGTGAGCAAGGTAGACATATATCCCAAACCTTGCATGACTAGAAGATCACAGTGTATACTAAGACTGACGTCTATCAAGACAAGATAGACCCTGCACACTCAAGACCTGTTGAGGTACGATAGTAGTTCGATTTCAGGCCGTTTGATTTCGATGTCCAAGGGCATGATCCAGCCACGAAAGACAAAATTCAGTGTATATCACTAGACTAGATATCCTTAGCCCGATAACAAGATATCCCAAGTCCGCGATAGGGGGGGTCGATAAACACGTCATGAAAGCATCCAGTCTTCTGGAGTATGGGACGGTGTGACCCGGCTCCTCCAACAGGCCACAGTGAGTCACCAAATCGTGTTCATCCTCGAATTCTAAGATGCAGGGCATAGATTTGGGGAACCCCAAAACCCCTCTCGCGTTACGCCGACAGCTCAGTCAAACATTTAGCATGCGCCACCCCTTCTTGGGCTGCCTCAGCATTGCTTGTCGGGGCCGAGGGGCCTCTAATCGCCAGATCTAGCTAGCGGTATTTCATCTGCATCGTATGATCGATTATGGATCAAGAAATGGTGAGCAACAGGGCCAGCGCCGGGCTTTTCTTGTAGGCTTCTTTCCTAGCGTTACCTGGTAACCCGAAGATGCGAGTTTGGGAAAATTCGACTTGGCGGCGACGGTGATTGCGGTAACATGCTCGGCCGCATTTCCGACGATTGGTAGAATTATTGAGCGAATAAAAGCTTCGGAAAGAGGCGAGTTCTTTACCAAGTGCTGACATAGTGCGACCAAACCAGTAGATATGAACAAAAGCATGATTGGCTACTTGCGGGATCTCTTTCGTATCTATCCGACTAGGTCATGGAAGGTTTCACAAGTGTCGGGATTGCGCGACGCCAGGTAAAACGTTTCCCCTCACGCGTTCGTTTGACTAATGGAATATTCGAACAGACGTGCCAGCACGGGTTCACGGTTGATCATTGCCCTACAGTGGAGCGGTATACCGTGGGGACTTGATAGGAGAGAGGAGCAAGGCTGTGTCACTAACCAACCAAGGCCGGTCAGACTTCTGAGTCGACGAATGCTTCTGGGCATCTTCAAAAGAAGAGAGAGTACGCACAGGGGATATGACACTAATTCTGGTCAAACATCCTATTTCCGGCCGGTCAAGCATCCAGCACAATGACGATGGGTAAACGAGTTCTCGTGGTCGGTGGCGGCATGGGTATTGGTGCACACATTAGCAATTTTCTGCTTCAACAGCATCACGCCAAAGTCGTTGTATTCAGTCTCTACGTGACGGAGGAGCTTCAGAAGTCAACATCCACAAGCAGCCAGATCCGAATAGTCCAGGGAGATGCAACATCTGAAGACGACCGGGCTAAAGCCATGGAAGCAGTGCACAGTTTCTTGGGTGGCCTCGACTGTCTGGTCTGCACGGTTGGCATCATGGGCCAAGTTCAGCGGGTGGCTCAGATGAGTCCTGAAAGTATCGTCAGGACGTATAGCGTCAACGTTTTCGCACCTATGCACTTGGTACGTTGTTGGATTACACATACCACCCTGTTGGGTTGGGGTGTCACCTGCTTACTGACTGGCTGATACATTCCAGTGCCAATTGTTTCTCCCTGATCTTCGTCAGTCCAGGGGAAAGATCATCATCTTATCCTCTGCGGTGGACAGAAGCATACAATATGCCGGCTGGATGCAGTATTGTTCCACCAAGGCCGCTCTGACACGGTTCATTGAGGTCTTTGGGCATGAGGAATCAGATGTCAAGGTTCTTGGTGTCTATCCCGGTTTGACCAGAACAACAATGATTAATGACATGGTGGCCCGTAAATATACTGGAATCATGACAGATGACGAAGTCCAGAAGTTTGTCGATTGGGATCGAGATCAGGGTATGGAGCCACCAGAATGGTGCGCCAATTCTGTGGCTAAGATGAGCGTGGGAGAGGTGGAAGTATCGAAAAACGGCGTCTGCCAGTATTACTATGAGTATGATCCAGACTTCAAAGTGGTTGCTAAGACTTCGAAGCTCTAATCAAGCAATATTCGGACAGTGGACATAGAGGTGTTATATACCATACATCAATGACTATGTAAGATCTTGTCTATGGAGTGCTCTCATACCCCTAGCGACATCGATTTAATACCCTCTAATT